AGGGTGAAGAAGCTGGGTGTGGTGGCACATGCCTTTAACCCCAGCACTTGGGAGGCAGAGGCAGGCAGATCTTTATGTTTTCAAGACCAGCCTGGTCTACATAGTGAGTTCCAGGAGAGTTGGGGCTACAGGGAGACCCTGTCTCAAAAAGGGGAAAAAAAAAAAAAAAAAGAAAAAGAAAAAACCCCAGAGAGAACCATATTATTCCAACAACCTACTGACAAATTATACATTTGACTAGCTCAAGGAATATAATACATGTCTAGGCAAGGTTTATCTGAGGATATATAGTATTTTCCCAAGCTTTATCTACATGGCACATGGTAATTAAAAGTATCAGGCTGGTGGAACTAACCTTCTTGGATGTCTAACAGCCATACTTTGAGACCTAGACTAATTTGGTCAGGGGGACATAAAGGACAGTTTTTGCTCCGTGCCCTCCTAGGTCAACTAAGTTCCAGGGGCCTCTGAGCATCTCTCAAAATGTCCTGTAACTGCAGTGAGTCACCTGTCCTCTTGATCAAGAGGCCATGGAGACCCCATCAAATGGACCTGAACCAGTGTCCAGTCTACAAAAAGGAGGGTCAATACAGAGGAAATATTTCCTCCATGCTTCCAAGTGAAGCCATCCATGGTCAAGCAGGACCTTTGACTTATCGTCACATAGATGGAACTGGTAAAAGAAAGGAGCCAGGGGCTCCTCCCAAGCCCCTGTGACCCCTGAGGAACAGATCCTCAAATGGCCTTAAGAGTAAAAATAAATTGGTTTATCTGGGCCAACTGTATGGTCTTAAACACCCAAAAGGAAAGTATAACCATAGAGTAACATGATCAGTACAATTCTTTCAGAGTCCATGTGTATAGCTAAAGGCTACACAAGACACAATGCCAGACAGGAGATACCTTCCTTTGAGTTGTTTGCCAGGATGGCCCAAGAGACTCCCAGACAGTAATCCAGCACAGAACTGGGAAAATGAACAGCAGACCGCAATCTTAGCTAAAGGAATATTGGCAACTGATCGCTGCTAGATGAGGAACAGCTGATCTTCCTAAAGCAAGGCACTCTAGATAGGCTGACTAGATTCAGCGGATGGACAAGCACTGGAGAATGGCTGGGGGCGCCAACACCATAGTGGACAGTAACAGGGATGACAGAGTATATGGGCACCAGTTGGGCAGGTGCTATTTGGGAAGTGGGTATATAGATGAAAAGATTGTGTGAGATGTTCTTTATGATACACACATACACACAAAAATCAATAAATAAAAAAATGAGTTATATTTGAAAAAAGAAAAAATGTGTTGTCCAATCTTTAGGATCAAGAAATAATGAAACAAAGACCTATTGTGTACTGGGGAAAATATAATTAGACAAACTAAAGAAATCAATAATGATTCTGCCATGAGATTTTCTTCTAATTGGCTTAGTATTTTTTAATTTTTAAAAAATTGAATAGTATTTCTTAATTTCTCAGCATATTTTGAGATTTTACGGCATCTTAAACTGCCTACTCTGTCTGATAGGGTTCCTCTAATTCCCCTCATTTTGTAGTCCTCTGATCTACAATCTGGTAGGCTGAACTGGGCCCCAAAATGGAGCCACTACTGACCAGCAACATGGTGATCACAACCTGGTGGGCAGCATTCTGGGAAACAGAAACTAAGCCATCCTAGTTTCACAGTAACCACCTGACCTTTGTTTTAACAACACACCCTAATCATCACAGTAATTTTCCACTGCAGCCAACTGAAACCCTGAAAAACACCTAACTGGAACTCCCTACTATCAAGGCACCTGCCAACAGTCTCACCTCTGTCTACCCACAAAAGAATAATCTTATAAAATCCAGCCTGCTGTGATGAGAAACCACTGCTCCCTTTTCCCCATGGGAGCAGTCCAGGAGCTCATACATCCCGATAATCTTTTCTTGCCTCAGAGTAGGCTCTAGCGGTCCTGGTCTTTTCACAAACCTAACACAATCTCCATAGCATTCAATTAAATTCTTTTCTTGCTCATCTCCCTAGTTAAGTATAAAGAATACAGGGACAGAAAATTAGCTCATCTAGATCACTGTTATAATTCCAGTGCTTAGATGAAAATCACTGTTCAATAAGTAACTGATTAAATAAATATGTTTAGTATTTTTATATTAGAAAATAAGTAAGAATAAATGATTAGATCTTGATGGCAGAACAGAAAAAGCAAAAGACAAGAAAATAAACTTGTCAAAGGTTCATGTTTATCTCATTTTTCCTGACATAAGAGCAAATTACATAAGAAACATCACAGAATACAGAATTCAAAATGATGGAAACTGATCAAATAATTTCAAAACAAGGAGCTGCCTACTTACCTTGATTCATTACAAAATGCCATTAAAATAATCAATTTCTTGTCACTCCATCCTAATTAATGACATCCATACCTACACACAATTTTATATTTCCTTGAGTCCTAGTGATCTTAGCTAATTTATGCTTTATTTTTTCTTGGCAACATACTCTGTTCCAAAGGCCAAAAATGTCAAAAGTATTTGGGAGCTTGTATCTATTCCTAAAAATATTTTAGGGTTACCTCTTCAGAGGGGGAGTGTTGGAGGGGAGGGAGTAGGCATGGATTCGATCAAAACACCTTATATGCATGTATGAAATTCTCAAAGTTTTTGTAAAAGTTAAAAAAATATTTTATTTTTCAAATTGTGATGTGTGTGTGTGTGTGTGTGTGTGTGTGTGTGTGTGTATGCACACTAGGCATGGACCCATTGGAGGCCAGAGGCTAGAGGTTGTCAGACCCCCTGGAGCTGAAATTATGGGTGGTTACTGGCCGCCTGATGTGAGTACTGGGAATTGAACTCAGGTCCTCTGGAAGAGCAATACATGCTCATAACTGCTGAGCCATCTCTCCAGTTCCTAACTTATGCTTTAATATATTCATCATGCATAGCATACTAGACTTTTTTGTTTTTTTATTTGAGACAAGGTCCTATTGTATAACCCAGGTTGACCTTGAACTCACATCAGCTCTCCTGCCTCTCTCTGAATCCAGAGTACTGAGATTATAGGTATATGACACCATGGTCAGCTACTGTTGCATGACAAACTTTTCTTGGGAAGATGCAGCGTACACACACACACACACACACACACACACACACACACACACCCCTGTACTCACCCTAGAATGGAAAACTATGACAGACCAAAGTAATCATTTCACCAATATCCAACTTGATGAACCAATGAGTTTTTAATTGGAATTACTAACAGGAGTATGGGTGAGGGGTTACTTACAAGTATCAGGGGTGATTGAAGAGTAGCTGTATCACTGAAAGGACCACCCCCACATGGGTGGCCACCCAGGAAAGCTACAACCATGGAGTTCTGAACAGCCTGCAGGCAGCTGCACAGGGAGGCTGAGAACTCTCCTCCCCCAGAAAGTGTTTGGTCCTTTAAAAAAGCTGAGGGGTAGGGGACTATGAGCATCTCTCAAAATGTCTTATAATGGTGGGGGGTCACCTGTCCTCTTGATCAAGGAGGCTGAGGAGACCCTACCAGATGGACTTGAACCAGTGTCCAGTCTACAAAGAGGAGGGTCAACACAGAGGAATCATTTCCTCCATGCTTCCAAGCATGGTCGAGTAGGACCTATGACTTATCTTCACATAGGCGGAACTGGTAAAAGAAAGGAGCCAGGGGCTCCTCCAAAGCTAAATCAGTTTATCTGTACCAACTGTATGGCCTTAAACACCCAAAAGGAAAGTATAACCAAAGATTAAAGGGGCCAAAATAATTTCATAAGAGTCCATATGTATAGCTAAAGGCTACATAACAAGCCAGACAGGTGATACCTTCTTTTGAGTTGTTGGCCAGGGTGGCCAAAGGGATTCCCAGATGGTAACCCAGCATAGAACTGGGAAAATGAACAGCAGACCCCAATCTTATTCAAATGAATATCGACAACTGATTACTGCTAGATGAGGAAGAGCTGACCCTCCTAAAACAAAGACCTCTAGATAGGCTGACTAGATTCACCAGAAGGGCAAGTAATGGGGAATGGCTGGGGGTGCCAACAACACAGCAGACAGTAGCAGGGATATCAGAGTATAAGGGCTCTAGTGGGGGAGGGAGGCTATGGGAGGGTGCTATCTGGGAAGTGGGTATAAAACAATAAATAAATAAATAAATTTAATTAAAAAAATGATCACTCTGATTTTGTCTCCCAGTTAAAAGCAGATAATAAATATTAACTAAAGTAAAAAAAAAAACTAGGTTTACAAATATTTACTGATAATAAATCATTAAAAAAAAAAAAAAGCTGAGGGGTTCTCATAACATGTGACCTTTTGTTTCCTCCTATGTTTCAAAAGCCTCCCTTTCACTCCTGATGCGAAAGCTTCCATTCAGGAGGAAACTGGTATTAACCTGTTACCTTTTATATGGGTAGACACTATTCTGTGTGTTACTTTACAAAATTTGATTTCCTTGTGCTTTGAGCTAGGCATTGTTTATACTACATAAAGAAACTGAGATTTACAGAAGCAAAATAAATTTTTCTATAGTGTACATACTGTGTACATACATTGTATCATTGTAAACCATAAGTATATACAATTATGTGTCCATAAAATTAAAAACTACTTTGAGAAATTTTTGCCAATGATTCAGGCTAGAAAACAGAAACACACACACACACACACACACACACACACACACACACACATACACACACGAGGGTTTGGAATTAAATACAACAAATTAAGGAGAGCCACTGGGCTAGAGTATACTCCATGTCCTTACCTTCACACACAGGAATACTACGAGAACCATTTCCTGAAAGTTGTCCTCTGATCTCCACACATATACACACACACACACACACACACACACACACACACACATACACACACGAGGGTTTGGAATTAAATACAACAAATTAAGGAGAGCCACTGGGCTAGAGTATACTCCATGTCCTTACCTTCACACACAGGAATACTACTATTCCAAATGCTTTCTGTTCCAGCTAGAATGCAATGACTAGCAGGACTGCCTTTTAATTGAAACCTAAAGAAGAAAACATTAGTGAATAGATGTTTCAGCCAGAGTAACATCCAGTTCCCAGTCTGAGGCCCAGCCAAAAAATCACCACAGCTTCCAGCAGAGGAGGGAAGTAGAATGGCAAGGCATAGTGACTTGGTAATGTGACAGTCCCAGCTTAAACTGAAGAAGGTAGTCGGGGCACAGCCAGACCCTGGACATAGACTCAGGGTCACTGATCAGCCCACAAGGAACTTGATACACCAATCATTGTCATGACTACAAATCCAATATGCCAAGACAACACTTTGCCAACTCGGTACTGAGAAAGCAGAATCACTGGCCGGAAATAGAGATTATTTTGTGTCCCAACATTTGTGATAGTTGTTTAGAAGGTTCATTAACAGCACCCGTTGAGTTGAAGAGTAAGTCTGACTATTCTAGAAGACAATGGAAAGAGGAAAGTAGCCAACTTTTATATGAATTCATCCAAAATTCTGAGTATGCTGAACCCAGATGCCATTTAATAAATGTCCCAGTTTTTCCCTAACATCTTGTTTTATCAATTCTACCAGTTCTCTGTTATTCCTTTCTACACACACAAATCAGAAGGAATCTCTCTCCCCCATACCAACCCTCTCACTTTAGACAAATTCATCCTTGGTTTTAATATCCAGCAGAGCAAGCCTGCCTCACACTCACCCTTTATTACAAACAAAGGACACATTGGCCCCAAGCTGGAGATTCGGTGGCAATATCACATGTCCATTAGGAAGTTTGTCCAGGAAAGCATCACAGGATTTCACTGGAGAAAAAGAAAGCCAAATAGAAATAATAACAATGTGTGGAGAATAAGAACACAAATTAAAAATGCCAAACCTGAGAACAGCCCAAGCACCTGCCCATGTAGGGGCCACAGAACTCCAGTCTCCTTAGGGTGTACAGTACAGATACAGCTCTGTGGAAGGAATAGTCTGGTTTATAGGGGTAGAGCAGTTCCTGCCCAGAAGAAAAACATTCTTGTTCTTTGGGGTGTGCTTCCTGTGCAGGATTTCTAGAGGTGGCTGCCATACTGGGGGAAAAAGGACCAAAGTATTGTGAAAATATTTTTTCTCCAGTGGTGAATCAGCCAAGAGAATCACAGGTATAGGGCTATATATTAAAAAAAAAGGTCAATGGATGGATTAACATCCTTATTTATGACAAATTAAACACACATGCTTTTTCCCAAAAGTGACAGTACTTTGTAGGAACTGTGACTACAACTGTTTAATTTTGAGTTTATTGTTTTCCCTCTAAAGTATATGCTAAGGCTACAACACTTCCATTTTCTACTCACCCTAAGCCAAATTTGGATTAATGGTTTATTTTACATCTTCACACTACCTTTCTAGAAAGGCATCACCAACTTTTAGTTTCATACTTTGGTCAATAAGGAATATCTACCCAAGTTTCTTCTAGCACAATGGTTTTGACAACAGGGTTCCTACATCTGTTTTGAATTCCTTTGGAGTCCTGCTTCACTGAGTACTTGGCCTGGAGTACTGGAGAAGTACTTCTCTTTGCACCACACATTTGGAGCTGTTCAGTCACTCATTTCATGCCCATGGGCAAAATCTTTTTAAAAGAAACTTCCAGTCATAACGACAGTGCATACTACACACACAGTATTCTAAGTCTTGGTTCAGCTGTCTCTTTAAACAATTGCTTTGAACTCAGGGAATGAGGACGCTTGTGGGTCTTAAACTACATATAATTGTAAAATGAAAACAAAAACTTATTTCAAGTTGACTTTGAGCAAGTCAATTCTCCTCTCTGAATTTGAGGACTTTCAAATATTTTGAAGTTATATTAATTTTCAGGGCTTATCACCCAAGTGTTTCCCTTGACACGATGTGATATTTAAATGACCTGTATTGACTAAATTTCTGTAAATTCCCAGCCTCACACTGCATACTGTCTTTTGATCATTATGTGAAGCTTGAAAACTATAATTCCTTTGCTAGCGGGGCTCTGGTTAAATTCTGCCACCTGGAAACATATGTATCAAACTAAAGGACTGAGACATGACTGATGCCCTTTGCATCTATGGGTGGCTTCAGCAGAGGCACATTTGATGTGAGCAGCAGTCACTCTAATTCCAGTGAAACCAATGACTCTGGTGCCGGCAGGACTGGCTGCATCCTGGAAGCAGTGACAGGGGCTGGCTGTGTCGGTTGGGATAGGGCATCTATGTCAGTTCTATTCCTGTAATAACAGTAGCATCTTGGTCTTTGCCAATATTGCCTTCCTCCTTTGACTCTTTCTGCATTCCTAATATCTTTACACCTATTTTCTATAGGAAGCCCATCATTCCTTAAAAAACCTGGCAGACAGACAGTCTTGGATTGCATTATTCGCTTGAGTTAGTATCTATATCATTTCACAAAATTAACAAACCTCTCTAAGCTTCAATATGGAAGGAAGAGCAACTTCCGCATAGCTTCATTTTAGGGATTAAATATGCACATTGTTTGTAGTCTGGTGCCTGACCAATTGATCACTCATTACATATTAGCAAGCATTATGCACAAGGGTAACTGATAGATGATGGTGGCTAGAGATGACAATAAGTGAAGAGAATTTTTGTTCATGAGAATCCTCATGATGCATCATCGTATTCCTTGCTTAGCTTTAGCTCTGCTTCCCAATTTGAATGCATGTGCTTGTGGAGGTTCATGCATGTTCACACAAACATATAATTGTTCTTGATTTCATAGTCCCTCCCAAGAAAATTTACTTATCCAACCTGTTTACCATATGCCTTCTTCCAGAACCATCCCTGACCTCCAGTCCTCCCAGTACCCCATGGCATTGTAGACCTCCCATACCCTTGTCAGACTCACCCTTGACACAGCTTGGTAACTCTGGCTCCCATTTGCTTAGGGCCTGGCACTGCACGCTGCTGGGTCCTTTCATGATGAAGCCAGGCTGACATCTAAATTCCACAATATCCCGTAAAGAATACAAGCTTTTGTTTTCAGATACCATGACTGCATTTTCAATGAAGGGAGGTATACATTTGTTCCGTTGAATGCACTGAGGGGGAGGCCCACTCCAGACACCAACTTGACCGTCATTGCTGGTACAGTATATAGAGGGTTCACCCACCAGTTCAAAGAGCTTCTCTCCCCTTACTCCAAGGTTGCATTGATAGGTCACCACTGTTCCAAACTGAAAATCTTCTCTGGTGGGGCTGAGGAAATCTCCATTGGTAATGGCCGGTGGTTGCTCACAAGGAATCTCTGGGCAAAGACAGCAGATTAAATAGCAGTCACTGTAAATAATGAGTGAGAAAACTCTAATGACTCATTGAACAGAGATTTTTACTTTTATTATTTGCTATTAATCTTTATTGACATTGAGTTTTACACTGTTGCAATTTAGGTGCACATAATAACAAATGCTCTGCTTTTCCTACTTAGTTCCTGTAAACATGCATTCATGAATACAACTGACCTTTTCATTTGGAATAGTTCTATTTAAAAAAAATACTATTTTTATGTGTATGAGTGTATTGCCTGCATGTATGTAAGTGCGCTGTGTACATGCAATGCCCACAAAGGTCAGAAGAGGGCATCAGATCCCCTGGAATTGGGAGTTATGAATGGTTGTTAACTGCCATGTGTGCTAGGATTTGAACCCGGGTCTTCTGCAAGAACAATCAGTGCTCTTAACCGTTGAGCCTCTCTCTCCAGTCCCAAGAGTAGAATTTAGTAGTAGCAGCTAACAACCATCTGTAACTCCAGTTTCAGAGGAATCCAATGCTCTCTCTGACCTCTGCTTTGTATGACATGGGTGCACTTAACTACATGCATGCAATACACTCATATGCATAAAAATGCAAATACATAAAATATTTTAAAGTAACATTCACTAAGAAAAAGAAAACAGGAAAGATGAAGCAGGAATGGACAGGAGAAACTGTAGCTTATTATATGTTAAGCATTTTGAAAATCTAAATGATGTAACTGAAAATATAGACTACTAATATTCATTCAAAAAGATCTCAGAAGATGGAGTTAATCAAGAAATATTAAGTTGACTTATAGTACAACACACACACACACACACACAAAGTTGTCAAACTTTCACATAATACATAATTCCAAATGTAATTTCAAATGTTTTGAGACACATAAAAAGAAACCTCAAGTTTGATATTATAAGATGGTCTCTATGCTTTAGTCTATAAAATCCCTTAAATGCATTTAAAATGCAGAATGTGTTGGACATGGGCTACTGCTCCATGGGGAGAGGGAACCAAATCAGAAGGAGGGAACCAAGAGTCTTGAGTGGTCTTGTGAGTCTTACCAAACCAAAGGACAAAAATTGGAGTCCGGGGCCTCCTAAACATGGAAGACCTGGTAATACTTTACAAAGAACTGTACTCTTGGAATCAAGGCTGACTGATACCCGGTATCTCAAAGGCTGGAAATATTCTTCAAGTACTGTAGGTAGCTCAGAAAAATTTAAGTTCCTAAGACTGAATCAAAGTAGTACCAGACAGCCAGTGTCCTGGAGCCTTAAGGGAAAAACAAAAATGGTCTCTGGAAGAAAGCAGGTTACTACCATGGTTTAAATTTGGGTTATGCTCCCCTAACAACCATGTGCTAAAGTCTTGGTTCCCAGGGTAGTTTGATTTTAGTGGAACCTTTAAGAGGTTTGGTCTCTGAGAAAATCCTTAGCAGACCACCAGCTTCTACCAACCAAGGGCTAAGAAATCTGTCAGATAGCATCTAAGGCCTATAGTAACATTACCTTTGCTATAAAGCCACCTATCTGATGTTTCCACCAATGTATTTAAAAAGTGTCTTGATTTATGGCTTTCTTTGTACTGTTACTATAAAAACTTCATTTACCTGTTACCATGTTGGAACATGGATTTGGGGGTAACCTGAATCTGTGTTCCATGGGCCATGGTCACTCATATTTGGCTCCAGAATAGACTATCTCTTATCCCCTTTGAGATGAGAGTTGTGCTTTCATGTTGACAGTCATAAACAGCTGATCTGAAATTACTTCTACAGAGAAGCAGACCTTGAATCATTTCTAAAGAGAATTTTTCCAATTTAATTCCTGATATTTAGTAAAAGATAACCAGGTTCTTGAAGAGGTAAAATGACAGGAGGAAAATCTAACACAACCAATGGTGAAACAAACACACCCAAAGGACTATCGACCTAGAATTTTCACTCACAGAATAAAAGTAATGATGAGTACCTATTCAATGAGAAAAAACAAACAAACAAAAAAAAAAAATCACAAACTTTTGATAGGAACAAGAAACAGTATAGGGAAAAAAATTGGAAAAAAAAAACAGATAAAAATGATACAATTAGGTAATTTCCATTTTAAATTGTTTATGTTTAATTTCCAAAATTGGGAATTTGGATAGGGTTAATAGCAAGCTAGAGAGTATTGAAGAAAAATCAAGAAGGACAGAAATAAAATACCCCAAACTAAACACAAAGAGGCAAAAGGGTTGGAAATGCAGGTTAAAAAAAAAGTACAAGTGATGTTGAAAAAGCACTGACTCTTCCCCTGGGTCCACAAGGGAACTAAAAGCAGGAGGAAAGTCGCAACTCTGCCTTCATTTTGTATTTGTCTCCTCCTTGGTTACCTCCTAACCTCTGTACACATGCATGTTATTCATTCAAAGAAAGTCTGTCTAACCTATCTCATCTCCCTCCTGAGATAAATTATTGTCCCAAACCTGCGATCACCTCGGGTTCCAGAAACAGCAAAATCTTGAGGGACAGACACCCCTCCACTGCCATCCCTTAATCAGATGGCACAATGAGTGAAGAGGCCAAGGTTACAGCTGGTGCAGAAGTAATCATCTGAGAGCTGCCCTGCTCTCTCAAGCAGTAAGATGGTTTGACTTCTTCAAACCATTTTGTAGGGTCAGAGCTGAGAAAATGATCAGTGAGAGGAGACTATACCTAGACCAGGACTGCTTAGTTATGCATGCCTTTTGCCCTTTGCTCTAATTCTTCCTGTATTTAAAACTGAAAAGCCTGTCAATATGCAGAAGGCAGGCTTTGGGAAACTGGACCTCTTTTTCTGTCCCTCTTCCCAACGCGTCCACATTGAATAACCCTCCCCTCTCTGCTTTTCATCATCTCTTTAACTGGCATCCTGGAAAGTGGTGACCAAGCCTAGACTATTGGGCCTGCTAGAGCCCTGGTATATGTAACAGAATAGACTGAAAATTACAGAGAGAAAATTAAAATAAATTTATAAAGAAGGAGCTATGCTTTACGGGGAAGGAAAGTCTTTTTTTTGCTAGGCTTTCATATGCAACATAAACAAAGCCCTGCCCAACCTACCTTCCTCCCTTTTGCCTAATAGTCTGAAAATCTTTTTCACATGGTCTCTAGGTTCCAGAGTGAGAAGTTCTGTGATACTTCCTCCTCCCTTTGCCTATCATAATTTTCTATTTGCAAAATTAGTATGTTAGGGACACAGGATGTGCTGGATAGCTTTAGTGTCAACTTTACACACCTGGGTTGAGGGAGCCTCAGTTAGGGAATTGCCTCTATTGGACTGGCCTGTGGCCATGTCTGAAGGGCATCTTCTTGATGAGTGATATGGGAGGGCTCAGCCCACTGTGGGTAGTGCCACCCCTGGGCAGGTGGGCCTGTGTTGCATAAGAAAGCAGGCTGAGTAGGGGCCAGAGGAGCAATCCAGTAAGCAGCATTCCTCCATGGCCTGTGCTCCAGCTCCTGCCTCCAGGTTCCTGCCCTGAGTTCCTACCTTGGGCTCCCAGATGAACTGTGACCTGGGATATGTAAGCTAAATAAACCCTTTCCTCCCTAAGTTGGTAGTGGTGTTTTGTCACAGCAATGGAGAAACAAACTAGGACACAGGAGGTCTGGCCTGAAGCAGAATTTCAAAGATGTTTTGAAAATTTCAAATCTCAAACATTTCCAGAACAAAGAACTTCCCCAAGCACAGGAATAAACTTCTCTAAGCCATCACCCTATAAAAACTTCTGAGAATATTTTCCCTTTTGAAAATGGGGGACACTGTCTTATGAAAAAGAAGCAACAACTTAAGTTGAACCATCTGCAAGGCTGACAACTATAAAAACTTCATCAAACTATGTTGGAACACCTAAATCTGTGTTTCTGGGCTATGATCACTTATATTTGGCTTCAGAATAAACAATCTCTTCCCCCCTTTGAGGTAAGAATTGTGATTTTTGCATTGAACATTACTTCTTTTGTTCTGGTACTACAAAAATTATCTTTATTGAAACTGCAACCATGTGGGAACAAAAAATTTGAGGTAACCTAAATCTGAGTTCCTGGCCCATGGTCACTCATATTTGGTTTCAGAATAAACGATCTCTTCTCTCATTTGAATTTAGAGCTGTGTTTCTTGTGTTGATAGAAGCAGAGTCCCTAGCCCATTTTTCCCAAACTTGTACTTGAATAAAACAATTACCACCAATTTCTGCTCCTGAGTTCTTTTTTAGTAGAAGCAGTGGGTAATAGGACTTCTAGGCCCCAGTAGCAATAACTTTTGCAGGAAAAACACTGGTAATAGCACCTATGGTATAGAAGGATGATATACACTTAGCTGAGGTTAAGCAAAGAGTAGGGAGGGATAAAAGCATGCACAACACTGAATAACAGAATTTTCTAAGGCTGATGAGAATGAGATTCTATCCTAGATTCAAGAATTCATATGAACTCAAGCAACAAAATTCAAGTAATTCTCCACTTAGACACACCACAGAGATGATGCAAAATCAAATTCTACCAACCTGAAAAGCAGTCAAGAAACACAGACCATAACTTTCAAAGGAACTACAAAGAGAAAACATTTAAACAATGAATTGCCAGACCTACCATACCAAAAAATGATAGTGTTCTTCATGTGGTAAGGTTCCCAGAAAAATCCTGCATCTTGAACTAAACTTTCTGTAAGGCTGACCTACTAACATGTCAGTGATTGTGCAGTTTGGAATATTGCTGACCCAGAGCTTATTTACAATTATCTTGGGCTGTCTTTAGCCCCAAATAGCCACTCCTTGCCCACCTCTGTTTCTGACTTAACACTCTTGTGACTAACAGAATGTATTAACAAAAGAAACAGTTCCCACCAACCAAAAGGCTAAGAATATCATCGGAGAGTATCTGAGTATTCCCTCAGCTCTGCTATGCCCTGCTATAGAATGTACCTATCAATGTATGTTGATTAATGACTTTTCTTTGTTTTGTTACTGTAAATACTT